CCCAAAACCCCAAAACCCCAAAACCCCAAAACCCCAAAACCCCAATACTATATAGAGCAATTGGATTATAAATTAATAAACCCCAAAACAGAAAATGATAGAGGGCAAATATAGAGAGATTAAGGATCTGTCCTCTGGAAGTTATGGCAAGGTCTGTAGATGCTCTGTTGAAGGAGAGCTTCGTGAAGTAGCAGTTAAGGTCTATGTGAAGAAACAACATGACTCTGACGGTGAGATCAGGCATTTTCAATGAGAGTGAGAAGCTCTATCCCAACTTCAGCATCCTTATATAGTTAGACTTCTTGACTTCAAGGAATCTGGGACGAGGGTTGATGATATGGATAATGTTACTAATGTTCGATACGCAGCTCTGGAGCTCGCTGAAAATGGTAACTTGTTGGATTACGTTGTTGATAAATCAATGGATGACAGAGTCGTTAGGTATTATTTTAGACAACTCCTCCAGGGTATTGACTTTATGCATAATAGTGGCTATTGCCACAGAGATCTCAAACTGGAGAATATTCTTCTAGATAATGAATATAACATTAAAATTTCCGATTTTGGATTTGCAACTAGCCTTAGAGGCAGCAATCAAGATAATCAATTATATGACTGCAAAGGAACTTTGAGATATATGGCTCCAGAAATATTTAAAGGAACCGGATATTTAGGTCGGAGCGTTGATATCTTTGCTCTTGGAGTTATCTTATTCAGCATGAAAACTGGTCGACCCCCTTTTATGAGGATGGCAGCAGCTCAGGACCCTCTATACTCGTTGCTCCACAGTTATCAATATGATGGGTACTGGATGATGTGGGATTCGTTTGCGCAACAGTCAGGATTTGAGTTGCCGATGTCATTCAAAAATCTATTTATCGCAATGATTTGTTATTATCCCAACTCAAGACTATCCCTTACTGAAATCCTTCGTGCGGAGTGGATGTTGGGCGAAATAGCAAGTGAGAGGGAAGTTCAAAACTACATGCAGGCACTCCAGAAAGAAATGGAGTTGTGCGACCAAGAACAGTTTGGAAAGCAAGCAAGCGCTCAGTCAAATTACATTGTTAATATGAAAAATGAAGAGGAATTTGACATTAAAGAAACTAATGATGTGATCAATGATGTTCATCAAATTGAAGATAAAGATAGAGGTCACCTCATTCATCAGGATATTGAGGATGAGCTTGACCTAGACCAAGATGACGCATTTGACCTTGGAGATGAACTTGAAGAAAAGAGCGAAGATTTAGAAGAATTTGTTGGTCATCAAGAAGAGAATAAGGAAGAAGACTACTCAATGGCTCAAGATAATGCCAAATCTCTTATATTTCCTAGGACAGAAGAGATAGACACTAATCTATGTACTGTCTATGCAGATAAAATATGAGAGTATCTAATGGAATACTCGCAGATTAATAAACTAAAGGTTTTCTTCGACGTCAATGATTTCACTCTGAACTTTAACATTCCAACAGATAATGGTATCAAGTATTTCGGTATGAAATTTGAATTCGTAGGCCCTGAAGATGGAAAAGATCCTGCTCCTGGAGTAGAAACTAGGAACAATTACAAAATTTATTTCTTAAAAGATGATAATCTCGATGAGGAAGAATTCAAAGATATTGGTCTCCATTTTCTTGAGCAGATATCTAGCTACATCTAAACCTCGGAGTAAAATCTTACTCTTAAGAGTATTTCATGTATATTTATCAAATATTTTAGAAAATAGATTATTTTACGTGGCAATGAGTTTCAATGGAAAGTCATTAGGCTGGGGTTTTGGGGTTTTGGGGTTTTGGGGTTTTGGGGTTTTGGGG